TACACTAAGTAGATTATTTACATCAAGTTTACACTAAGTAGATTATTTACATCAGGTTTACACTAAGTAGATTATTTACATCTAGTTTACACTAAGTAGATTATTTACATCAGGTTTACACTAAGTAGATTATTTACATCAGTTTTACACTAAGTAGATTATTTACATCAGGTTTACACTAAGTAGATTATTTACATCAAGTTTACACTAAGTAGATTATTTAGAGCACAGATAGCCCATTCTGTAGCTTTGTGCTTAATTACAAACAAACAAACAAATATATACGTAAATTATAACATAAAAAAGTAATTCAAGTTAGTCCTCATGAAGTATTATTTACGTACTTAACACAACAATATCAGGGCATAGTTTTGTTGCTAAAAACAAAGACGAACAGAATCTTACCAAAAGAAACTGACTCACATATATGTAAATATTATATATAGTTTTAGTATTAATAAAATAAATAATAAAGATCCGTTTCCAGGACGACGACATCGTAAAATCCTTCGTGTCTACTAAATACAACATCAGCGGAACAGCGAACAATCTGGTAATTGAAAGCATTCTGAGTGAAGGAAAGTCAGTTTTCAATGTTTATGGAGACGAACTAATTATATTTGCTCAGTAAGTATTATAGTTTAAGTCAACAACATAAATAATTCCTGGTGTTTTATTTACAAGTTTAAATCAACAATATAAATAATTAACTACTGGTGTTTTATTTACCAGTTTAAATCAACAATATATATAATTAACTACTGGTGTTTTATTTACAAGCTTAAATCAACAATACAAATAATTCCTGGTGTTTTACTTACGAGTTTAAATCAACAATATAAATAATTACTGGTGTTTTATTTACAAGTTTAAATCAACAATATAAATAATTAATTCCTGGTGTTTTATTTGAGAGCATTAAAAGACCAGGCAAACATTTCTTGTTAAATTATTTTTAAACGATCTTACAAAACATTTTTCTATTGAATTAAGTTGCATTATATAGTTACATCTAGATTAAATTAAGATATTGTACTTTGAACCAAAAAAAGTAGTTCAAATGAATTAAATGAGTTCACGATAACGTATGGTAAATACAAAATGTGCACATTGAGAACGATCTGTATCCAGCATTGATAACTGTACTTTCAGCCAAAATGTGACACTTCGTTCAGTGGTTCCCACTCAAGAAATTTTTGCGGAAATCTACCGACCAATAAAACACACCAGCTTGGTCTTCGAGCTTCCCAAATCTCAAGAAACCATTCACAACGTCATTCCAGAACCGGAACCTTACAAACCTACGTTTCCACAACGTTTTATGGAGAAAACCTATCCGTACCCTGAGCGGAAATACACCCAGTCGCCCGTGTTTCACCATGAGTTTGATCCATTCAGCAACTTCAAGAGACCCTATGATTTTCAGAAAAAAGCGTACCATGAAGAACAACTAAAAACCTACCCTGAAAACTATCTTCCCACTCAGGAGAACTATGACATTCCCTATCTATCCGTTTTTAGTCCTGTCAGTCCTACAGAGATGAAGAATATGGTCCGAAATATTCTGGAAAGCCTGACTGTGGATATAATCCGTGCCGATTTGTCAGTATCAGAAGTCGTTTCTTATAAAGTGATCAAACTCGTCAGAGCCCTGTCTGTTCTGAAGGTTACTGATCTTCATGAGTTGATCCGTGATGTAATTCCAACACAACAGAGGTACAAAGTGTCAGAAAGGGAGCAAGTGATGAGGTAAATAGCCTATTTATTGTTTTGTTTTATATCTTTTTAGACACTTTTTTTGGACATTTCTATAAGTATGTTATATTTACACTTCCCATCATTTAACCAGTAATATCGTTTACACGATAAAAAGTTTTATTTTTTAGATGTATATAACATAAACGACGGATATCAAAAACCTTCACGTGATATTATTTAATTCGTGATAAAACTTTTCTGTTTTTTTGAACAGGAAGCTGCTTTTAGATGCCCTTCCTCTAAGTGGAACCAATGATGCCGTTGTCATTATCAAATACCTTATTGAGAAAGAACTTGTGCTCGACTTCGAGGCTCGTGAGCTTGTCGAGGGTCTGCCGAAGAATATCGTTTACCCGAGAGAAGAAACGATTCATCTGTTATACGTAAGTAACAATACAATAAATTCGCAAGGAACTTGAAATATATATCCAATGAAAGAAGTTGTCAACCAACCATTGTATTGATTTAGATATCCATTATTCAGAAGTATTAAATATAATTTCTCTTTAATTCTTTGACAAAAAATCATGATGAATACTGAACAACTGACTGTAAATCAAAGTATATAACCTATAGATTCAGGCCTAACTTGCATAATTTTCCAGCTGACATTAAATCAAAGTATATAACCTATAGATTCAGGCCTAACTTGCATAATTTTCCAGCTGACATTAAATCAAAGTATATAACCTATAGATTCAGGCCTAACTTGCATAATTTTCCTTAGGAATTGATGCAACTCCAGAAAGTCAAATCAAATCGACTTCTTCTGGGATCTACAAGCTTGGCTTTCGCTAGACTGGTTCGAGACGTTTGTGTAATACCTCATCTAAATTACGCTAGACATGAAACAAGGGAAGAATATCTGTATAAACCACAAACCCAAGACGACCTTATACTTTCACTCTGTCACCCGGAAGTTGTTGAAAAGTATGTCAAGGTAAGTTGAAACTTTCAGTTACTAGGAATAATATTTGCTTCATTCTTTACAGTATGACTCTATCAGAAATTTCTCTATCGATATTTCAAACTACCAGAAAGTAGTTTTCTAATTACGTCATACAACCTAAATATTATGGTTTAAACGCCGAAAAACGATAGCCCCTAAAACCAACAGGTCTATGGTTTATAATAAGAATTCTATTAACAAGGTTTAAACTGAAAAAATTATTTCAAGTACTATCACCAGTTAAGACTAATGGCAATAGGTTTGGGAGAATGAAAGAAAAAAATATATTTTATTCAAAAAGTAATAATTTACGAACATCTAATAAAAGCAAATGAATTAGGGTCACTAACTCTAACTTAGAAGTTTTTAAAACTCGCCAAGATCTTCAAAATATTTACGACAAGCTAAATATATTCATACCCCCTCAGTGGCACAGCAGAATGTCTGCGGACATACACCATTAGAAAGCGGGTTTCGATAGACGTGGTGATCTTTTAGATGTTCTCCTGAGAAACATATGTTTTTTGTTTCGTATTTCAAACGACCTAAACCATTACTTAGAAAATAAAATTAAACATTTCCTTTACAGATAATCAGTTTTGAAGTCGACAGTTCTGAATCAACTTGGGTCTTGAACATTAAGAAAGGAATTCTAAGTCTGCTACAGGTTAACCTTGGAAAACAGTTGTCTCAAAGGATTAGGCCCAACACCGTAGAAACGGAGGACATACTACCTGAAGTGTTCGCCGTTTATGAAGTGAGAAGCTTCTTTAATTTCAATTGAACGAAAGAATAGTATATATTAGGGTAGTTCTTACCAGAATCATTCACTTCAAACAAATAGTAGCAACAGAACTTTTTAACTTCACAATGGCTCGTTTAACGTTACTGTTTTATTTTGAAATTTGGAGTCTAAACATAACAGCATTTCTCCACTCACTAAATACAAGCCCCTCCAGTAACACAGCGATATGTCTGCGGACTTACATCGCTAGAATTCGGGTTTCGATACCCGTGGTGGGCAGAGCACAGATAGCTCATTGTTTAGCTTTGTGCTTAATTACAAACAAACAAACACTAAATACATAAAAATATAAGTATAACATATGAAGTGTTAGTTTCATTTTATTTTATATTTAATATAAATCCAAAATTACTGACAGTTGTATTTGATATTGAAATTGATCAATATGGGAAAGAGATGCATTCATTTAAGTAGTGAAATCGTAAAATTCTAAATAAAAAAAAAGACATTTCAATATCATCTTAAACCTCTCCAGGACAGCATTGGCGGCAACTGTGAAACATGGTACACTATCGACTCCAACCCCAACCCAGAGCTCCCAATGATGCATCCTGTTCTGAACATCAGCAAGGTTAGAAACTACAAGAATTGCATCAAACGACCTGTCTTCGGACACAACAACCACGCTATCCGTGGCTGTCCTTGGCTTTGTTCCCATGTAGATCCAAAAATGGCGGTGCCTGGTATGGAGCCTCTGAAAACGTCAATTCCGTGTGAATGTCCAGCTGGATATGATATCGTGAGTATATGTTTAATATATTTTGTAAGTTTGATAAGAATCATTTGTTATACCATATATCGAAATTAAGCATTTCGCGTGTGTTTGACTTTTAACCTTGACTAAACTACAGTGTACTATCTCAACAAGTAGCCTTGCCCGACTTACGGGTTGGAGTTTTATAAGACCCTTCGGTGACCCACACCCCTTTTTTCAGAGGAGATCTGTTCACATCAAACTAACCTCTTTATCATAAAAGAAAAACAAAAACACATTGAGAAAATGAAAACATTTTAAAGTCAACTCTCAAAAAAATCAATAAGAATGTGCAAATTTAAATTAAAAATGACTCATAACATGAGCGTTACACACACACAAAAGACAACTGGCTTTTATTTATAATATATTTTAATCAGCGTAATAATAGTAGTACCACACCCAATTTAATGACCTATATATAACTTTATGAAAATCATATCAAACTCCTATTTAAATTATTTTTTTTGTACTCTACTGCTATTAAGGTACTAGACAAAGTACCTTGCTTCGCACGAGTTATTAGGTTGATATATTTTTGCATAAAATTTATCATGAAAATAAAAATGTCGGTCTAATTTTAAATTTAAATCATTTCTGATTTAAGGTATTTTCTGTTTTATCACCAATGTTTTTAATGAAAATAAAACCTCTTTGATCAACGGAGACTCTAAGTTTAGAAATCAACAAATATTTTTCCAGTTTTATTGTTTATACATTTCATTTTATACTTTCAGTACGTAATATTAGGTTACTAGCAGAGACCAGCAAAACATTTCCGGCCAAATTAGTATCATTATCGTAACAGTACTTCTTTAGATATAACACTTCTAGCACAATACAAACGAATTGTAATCGTAGACAACGAAATGTGTAAATCCACTTGTATATAGGCCGTACTTTCTAAATCTTTAACTTATGTTAGGCCTAAGTTTGATAAAGAGATAAATGAACACTGTAACGTGTGTACGTTTTTTACTTTAGTTTAGTTAGGACTAAACTTTACTGTACTTAATACTATCGATAAATAAACTTAAAATGTTATTCTACGACCTAGCATCAAACCTTTTTTAAAAAAAAACTTAGATAAGTTTTTAATATTCTGTTGTACAAAATGGTTAGTAAAGTATATTTACATTCCCCTTTTGTTGTTACTTCTTGTTTCAAACAGCAATTGTAGCAACTTGATCACTGAGCTTTGCAGCTCTCTGCTGCAAGC